AGATTTGAGAGAAAATAAACTTGATAAAAATTTTGAAGTAGATTCCATTTATTTTTTAAATAAATTCTCAATATAGTAACATGCACAAAAATGGCACATAGGGTATCATTTTTGTATGGAATCTGAAATTTTAATTTCAGAAGCTATAAATGTATCGTAGTGAAATCTATTTAATACATAATTTTGGGGTCTTAAGTTCTTCGTAACGTAGGATAGTATAACAAATTATGACAGACATAAATCACCATAAAAGCACAGAAAGCTGTTTAATTCGAAAAATTCACATCCAACAACTCATTATTTTTTCGTAATATATTTTAGTTTACTTGATGTGAATAACCAGGCCCGCACCAAGCCTAATCGGTGCCGTCGTGCAAATGCCTAGTGAACGCCTTTACACAGTGGCGATATTAGAGGGAAACTGCTTATGGTTAACACTTAAGAGTGATGTATTATTAGCATTACAGTAAAAAAAAATTTTTCTTTTTTAATTTTTTTAAATGTACAAACATTTTGTGCGTTCTTAAAACCCAGACTCAGACATATTTATTGAAGAATTACCGCATTTGACGGCATATAAGACACACTTTTTTTCCTAAATTTGGTCTTGAAAAAGTTACCTGTGTCTTATAAGGAAAGGACACAGGTTAACTTTCAATACTGAATGCTATTTTTAGCCTGGATAAAGGTCTAGACACACTTAACTTTCTCTACATCTGCCATAATTATTTTGCGCATGCGTGAAATATCTGTCGCCAAAAAGCGCCAAAGCTCGAAGCTGATGTCGAAGTTTGATTAGGTTCGACGGTCACATTACATTTATGGAGCCTTTCCTTCTTTACATAGACTTTTTTTTACTCAGCTGACACACGTGTCGATATCGGTGCTACTCTGTATAAATGTGTCGGTATCGGTGCTTAAAACTATTTGTTTTAAAAAAATACTCTGGAAAATATGACTACAGGAAACAAGAGATTAAGCTATACAATTCAGTATAAACTAGGAGTGTTAACGTACGCCAAAGTGCATGGAAATAGAACAGCAGCAAGACATTTCAGTCCACCACCAACGGAAAAAACAATATGTACTTGGTGATATCATGTTCAAAATAGCTTGCCGTTTGTTAATTTTCCTTAATAAAAATATGTTTGGTAATTGCATTCAACGATTGTTTATTTGGCTTTTACGAAACGTGAGAAATAAAAGAAACCACATTTTAAGTTATTCGGACTATTGAAACATTTTTTTCGTTGTGTGTGGCCTTCAAAATAAGGGTGCGTCTTATATGCCGTCAAATACGGTATACATTATAAAAAAATAAAATTGCAAGCGAAGAGAAATAATATATATGAAACTCATTGGATAGCAAATATACTGCTTAACACTATTTATTTTCTTAAAATTAAAAATAAATTAATTTACATACCTAATAAGTTTGCATCGAGTAAATATTTGTTCGCAGCATCGTTTACGACAAGGTCCGAAATGTGATTTACAAGAGGGCACAAAAAATTCTCTAGGGTTGATGCCCAAAATTTTTTTCTGCCTTCCTTTTATGTTGTTGACAAACGATATAGAGTTTCAACCAGTGATGCTACATATTTTCCAAAATTTTGCAAAAACTGCAGTTCATGCACAAGATCTAAGCTATGTATATCGCTTTCATTTTTATTAGTTAATTCTTTTTGTTGTTTTTGACGTAAGTTTAGCTGATTTTGTACTATATGTAAATGAAAATGCATGATGCCTATGCGTATTTAAGCCAGACGAAAAAAACGTGATGCATATCCATATGTAAGCATTCGACAAACTGCTTAATCTTTATTTTGTGTCTACTGTTGCAATTGTAATAATTTATGTGACAATTATCGTTTTGGTGATTGCTTATTGTTTATTATACATAAAAAAGTGTATTTACTTATTATGTTAAACTTAGGTTAGCTTTTTAATTCAGAAAAGCGATTATTTGAGCATAATTACTTGAAAAAATTTTTACATGAACTATTTGTTTATTAAATTAAAAATTATTATCTTTCGAAGAAAAAAGAAAGGCATATTCCGAATAACACTGAATTTATAATATACCTATTTGAGATTTGAAGCAAAGTAAAAATATACAAGGTTCTCTGAAATTACAAAATGGCCATTTTCTCATTTTTAGCTGTATGAAAACCGAACAAAACTTATTTGTTATATCATTATGTCTTAAATACATACTTTAAATTTGATTTATTTATTTTAGTAAACAAAAGAGTTACCTCCTTGAATTATTTGTATTGATCTAATAGTTCATATTTTTTCCCAGCAATGGTTTAAGATATACTCAATTTTTCACAATGAAGGTAAAATATTTCAAACAATGGCTTTCCGAGTGTTTTTAACAAGAAGTGTTTCTCGCAGTGGTTCTTATAATAGTTATTTTCTATTTTTTTTTATTTTTCCCAGATGTTGGAAGAAAAATAGAAAAAACTGCCTGGGTATCAGAATTTACTGAAGCAAAGAAAACGAGAGGAAAACTTAATAAACCAGAACATTATAAATTTACTTAGTTCTTCCAAAAACCCAGAAAATGCCCAAGCTGATGCTGCCAGCACTAGTTGTCCATCAACGTCTCAGCTACTACTAAAATAATATATTAAAAAAAACGAAATAATAGTGAATTATACAATTTCTGCAATAGATACATATTGCTATAATGATACGCATATGTATGTAAGTTTTTTTAGATGTACTTTTTGTTAAATCTTGCCAAACAAGGAAAACGTTAAACAGGATTGTTTGCTAAACTGAGGAGAAAAATTCTGTGTAATGTTTATGTTGCAAAATTTGCATTTTTTCAGTCACGTAAAACTTATTAACACTGGATTTAATGACTTGAACCTCTTAAGTGAGCACTTAAAACGTCATGAAAACAGTAAAATGCTATTAGGAATCTATTTTGGTCCGATTTCTTAGAATGATTTTGAAAGAATAAAGTTATTGAATTGGAATTTCAAAATATATTAAAAAAAGAATCTAAGCATTGATTCGATGTTATTGAAAGAATTATCTATACCATTCAGTTTTTAGCCAGTCAAAACTTAGCTTTTCATGGTTTCAGTAACAAATAATTCGAAAGAAATAATAATTTTTTAAAGTGCATAGAAATTATTGCAAAATTTGCCCCTATCATGTCTGTACATCCTAAAACACAGGTGAAGAACTAACAACATTCTTATTAAAGAGTTTAGAGAAAAATTGTTTAGCTATTACTTATTTACACAGCCAAGGATATGACAGTGGTTCAGAAATGAGAGGTAAACATTTTTCGAGTAAATATGCTCAAATTGTTGTTTTTCTGAATTAAAAATTCAACCTAATCTTAGCATAATATGTAACTGTGCTTACCTTTTGTTATGTAAAATATTAATAACAACAAGTAATCAGCAAAAGAAAATCACAAAAAAGTTAAATGTTGCATAAATTACTACGATTGCAACAGTACACACAAACTAAGGATTAAGCAATTTACCAAGCATGTATACGGTACCGGCATCTACCCTTATATACGGATCTACATCACGTATTTTCACTTCCTAATTAAGACATAAGAGAACACCAAAGACAAACTTCTGCCCTGGTTATAATTTTTCACTCAAATAAGACAGTGCGCTAGGAGGAAGGAGCACTCAGACCTGGCAAGCTCGAGGCTGCCTTAACACAGTTAAACGCCTCAACCCCTAGAGGAGATCCAAAAGCCCGCTAACCTGTCGGTCAAGCAGACGAGCTAAGATTAAGCTGAGTCGACAGGAATACTCAGCAACTCACATTCTTCCCGTCCCTGTTCTGGAGGGAAGGTAAAAAAATCTACCATCAACAGGGTCCCCAACCCCGCAGAGCAGAAAGAACTTACTTAAACACTATCAGAAAGATCGGACCACCAATCCAGCCTGCTAACACTACGTTATGGTGCACAGACCAGGACTACATTATGGTTCCAGGAACCCCCCAGGGGGGGACCAAGGAAGGATTATTATTATTATAAGGGCACAGCCCCGATCCTGCAGGCCGGCCGTATGATAAAAAAAAAAAAAAAAATGGGACTGGCCAGAAACCAGAAAAAAAAAAAGGATATAAATATATGCAGTTTTGAGGCTCCAGGCACCCCCTGAAAACTTCAAGCAGTCTAAAGGCTCGCTGAACTCGCCGACTTCAGCGACGGAGGTGTTTCCCCCCTTGGACAACCATGAATATCTGACTATATAGGTTGACCACAAACAACGGAACAGACAAGACAGTACAGTATGATTTGTGCCAAGCCTGAATCAGCCATCGGCAACGAAGACTCTAGTCTTGTGTAGACCGATTTTATACCCCTGCAGCCGAGACTCCCTAGTTACAGATTATAACTAGTAGCATCTCAGGTTTTTAGATATCGACCGGCCCCCAAGTTTTGACCAAAAGGAGCCCATCCCCCGAGGGTAACTTGCGATACCTGACCATGTAATGCTCCCACAACCAAGGAGCAGACAAAGACAGTACCAGTATGGTCCCTAGCGAGCCTGAGTCTGCCACCAAATAAACGATGGTTCTAGTCACTGTGAAGACAGTTTCTTTACCCCATAATTCGAAGCTGTCTAGATACTGATCTATCCAGTATGCTGGTATTGCCAGTCCTAGTCGACCCCCAGGAGTGGTCATCAGAACACAGTTAGCCCAGTCGAATCTGGTTACCAGCGTGGCCACAAGCAGGTTAGTGTCAGATTAGGTCAGCGAGAGGCTAGAATTTTCCTGATTATACAGGCAGCAAAACGTTCTGCTTGTTTTTATAACTACCTGGCACCTTTTTGACACAGCGCCCTCGTGTACCACATGACCCTGCACCTATTGTCGGCCTCATAAAAAGCAGCATGCAGCAATTTCAAGGTTTTGATATGTGATTTTAAATGCAAGATATATTTGTAATAGTTGCCACTACCTATCCTAACAGTTGTTTCTAAATATATTTGTTATCTTTCTAGGGCAACAAAAAGAAGAAAAGGAAGATTTTCTCAATATCAACCACCTCCTCATCTCCTGCTCCATCTACTTGCATACCCCAAGTAAGTTTTGTATATCTTCATATATATATATTTTGCAACAGTACTGGAAGTAAATGGTGGTTTTAATCTGGTAGCATGATAGTTCTATTTCAGGTACCTTATACGAGGGCAATCCCAAAAAAAAAAGTCTCCTATATTTTTAGATATACAAAAGAACCGTTTATTTTCTATAATTGCTACATCACTTTAAAGATTGAAGAATGCTTTATTTTTCAACATAATCGCCATTTCAGTCGATGCATTTTTGTAGACGCTGTGGCAATTTTACAATGCCCATGTCATACCAGCTTCCCGCCATGCCCTTCAGGAAGCGTTGAATCAACAGTTCAATCTTCAGAAGAATCAACCCGTTGCCGTTTGTGGTCTTCTGTCAGCATACGTAACACCCATCTTGCAACACCTTCCGATATTGAAACTTTTCCGTTAAAATCCTGTGGATGGTGCTTCTGGAAACCTGAGGAACCAAAATGCAGAGAGCATCCAGAGTGATCCTCCGATCTTTACGCATGAGTTCCTCAACTTTCGCGATTGTCTCGTCGGCAATTGATGGCCTCCCGCTCCTTTCTTCGTCATGAATTTCGGTACGACCGGCTGTAAACTCTCTACACCACTTGCGAACGTTATTGACATCCATGCACGACTGTCCATACACTTCCGTCAATAGGCGGTGAATTTCAACCGGTTTAATGCCTGTTGCGTTCAAAAATCGAATAATTCGCACTTGGCAGTAACGTTTATCGGGAGCTCCATTTCGAATGGCTGCCAAGCCAAGACTGAGCATCCGAGCGAAGCGCCTGCGTGCTTATGTGGTAGCGAAGAAGGCACTACTCACAACAGTGTTGCCAACAACCGTATTAAAACTTTCTCTACGTCCCCAAAAAATTGGAGACCTTTTTTGGGGGATTGCCCTCGTATTTTATGATAATGATATTTTTTACAACACAATGTCTAAAACAAGTCTCTTTCAAATACCAAAAATCCTTTCACAAAATATGATTAAACACCGCAACAGTAACTGTTTGTGCAGATGATATTTGCAGTGGTGTGAAACTTTTGTTGAAACCTAATAGTTATAATTCTGTATATATGATATAACTGTTATAAAATAGTGTTTTTCTATTGCCATTTGAGAGTTGTGACATCTGTGCTTTTTGATCATGTTTTTCTTTCCTTTATATTTTTGTCCTCCTTTTGCACAAACTAAGGAGCCAAGCCAGTTGAGAAATAATAATTTATGTGTTAATAATAGTCAATAGTTAATAAAGTATCATTAAATAGTGAAAAAATTGCCATCTAATTTTTTTCCCCCGATGCCATGGAAAGGATTGGCTATCTGGATAACTGGACAGCTGTCCTGTGTTTGTCAAACTTCTTCTTCTTCAATGGCCAGACAGCCCAGGATGGGTCCTTGCCTTCCTCAGAATCGAATTCCAAGCTCTTCTATTCCTGGCCATGGACATCCACTTGATTATTTTTAAAATTCTTAAGTCTGTTTCCAAACAGTCAAGCCACCTAAGTTTAGGTCTCCCTCTTTTTCGGGTGCCAAATGGTCTGGCCGAGAAGATCTTTTTAGTTATTTGATTTTCATCCATTCTGCACAGGTGTCCTGACCATTTATTTCTCTGAATCCTTATATATTTTACTATATCTATTTCTTTAAAGGATTTATAGAGTTAGTTCTTCTTCCCCAGATATTGTTACATTTTTTGCCACCAAAAATACTTTTTAAATTTTTCTTTCAAAGACAGAAATGATATGACAAAAAGACAAAAATGACAGCGTCACATGCAAAGCAAGGAAAATGAATGTTTATGTTATAAAAAGTATGCGTCAAAATGTTTTTTGGGGGGCGGTCTGTATTGTCTTATCTTTATCTATTTTTAGGTACATTATGTAAAAATATTTGGTAATTATAAAATTATTATAATAAGTTAAAGAAATATCAAAACTGCTAAAAATTTTGGGAACCCCTTTATGCAGGTCCTGCGACCCCCTTGGGAGTCGCGACCCACAGTTTAAGAAACCCTGCTGTAAAGTATTCTTTTGGCGAGCATTAACAGAAATAAAAATAACAAAATGAAAAGGTGATTTCAGTCACTCTCTGTGTACATTTTTATTGCAGTTGTAAATAAAAAATTTGCAGTTAGATTATATTTAATTGTTTTTAATGTTCAAGAAGTGTTAATACTATTTTTGACACTTTTTTTTTAATTCCATATTAGTAGTCTTTATTGTGAATGATAGAATGTTGTATCTGCCTATCATTTGTGAAATATGCAGTTTCTTCTAGAATTTGATATTTTTATGTAAAATCCCTATCTAAATTTCTAGATTTTTGTGATTTATATGATTTCATATATAATTATATTCTCTCATGTACTCCATAATAATGACTAAGATGAATTTCTTTTAATGTTCTTAAGTTATTTTATTGTATTTTGTAATAGGCGGAAGAACCTTTTGTCCAAGAAGATGCTCGTAAGTTGTGTGTGTGTGTTTTTTTTTTTTTAATCATGTTCTGGATTGATTGTAAAAGTGTCATTTTTTATATCTTTAAAATCATTTATAACCACATACAGGTTTTCTTTGGGGTGTTGAGGCATCATGTGTAATACTGTAATTTAACTTATGCAGTTGTTTCAGACAGAAATTTATATATATATGTGTGTGCGTGTGTGTAAGAGAAAAATATAAAAGCAAACTTCTAATTTTAATTGGCTATAACCTCTTTTATTTTTCATTTAATTTGTAAATATGGTAACTTGCCTCTCTCTGTCTAAAAATAGCGCCATAGGTCTAAACTGCGTCATTCAAATTAATCACCTGATCTTACGTAACCCTTAAAGGCCCGTCTACACATAGCGATTTTTTTGGCCGACAATATCTGAGATAGCTCGCCTGTCCACATGGAACAATTTTCTTGTTAGTACAGAAATTCCCTCAGCCAATCACTGTGAAAGGAAGTGTTCCCGCCCTCTATAGCGTCACACTGTCTACGATTTCTAAACAAAGCTAACGGTGCTGTCAAATAGTCAAAATAATGGATGACTATTTTAAAATGCTACTATAGATACAGCTACAATTTTGAACTTAGCTACTGCTACAAAAGGAAAAAAAAGAAAATGCATTTGGACCAGAAATTGGGTAAGTAACTACTGTGCTTTAAATCAAAACCTTTATTCATGAACAAATAGACAATAATGTCATGAATATCAAACCAGTATGAGTAAAAAGGAGTAATGAGGAATAAAGATTACTACATTACAAAGCAACAGTGTAATTTCAGTGCAAAAACTTCAAATAAGAAATATCATAAATGTGCAAAGTCTTAAGTAGTATATTTATTGAACATTAAAAAACTAATATCAGCATAATTAAATAATTAATACAGTCTGAAAACTATGATCATATGACTCTATCAGTTAATCAGCTAATAAAAATTTAGCAATATTGTATTAAATTGGGCTGTAATTTGTTTTCGCAAAACATAACATAAAACTGAGTTTGTGACTTGTGACTTTCTTTTGACCAGTAGATCTAAAATACGTGCCAACGGCCATTCGAAAAATAAAAAGTAAAGGCGTTACAATTCAATAAACACCACACCCATAGGCAAAAAAAAATAAATAAATAAATAAAAAGTGACTTTTAAGTCATGCAGTTCGAATTTAGTGATGGAGAAACTAAATTAAAAAGTTCTTCCAGGCGCAGAAAGTCCAAAATCAAGATGGGGGATCGAACCCACAATCTCAATGTACAGAGAAACCTGCTCTGCTCTTTACCACTGGGCTATGATCACTCATGTAGGAGATGTCGGTAAAGGCTATCTACTTCATTACCTGATTAACTCGCATTTTTGGCAAAGTCGATGAGTCTCTGCACTGCTTTAAATCGGCCCGTAATTTCTCGACTGGAGATTATCTTTCTGAATTTTTTCAATAAGTGCGACCACAGTTTCAAGTAGTTTCTGAATATTTTCATCGAGTACCATGATATGGCATCATTAATAGTTTTTGGAACTTAGAAAATATTTGAATATATAAAGTAATGGGGAAGACAAAGCTTACCAAGATAAGAGAATCCCTTAATTTTTTATTTTTAAAATTTACATTACTCGTGTCCCACAACACAACATTTTTTCTATAGAAATCTATAAGCTGAAAAATTTAAGTTTCGGTCCAACGAAATGCAGCCATGTTTATTATTCCAAATGAGGAGAAAAGCACATGATCATTCAAAGCAATCTTATTGGCTAGAGACTCCGATTTTATCGTACGCTAGTGAGCAGTGAACACCAATTCTGAAATCGCGGCAGAGAACATGACCGATTTTTAGCGCATGCGCAGATCCTTAAAATTGTTGCTCTACGAGAAAATCGCTTTGTGTAGACAGGCCTTAATCCTTTGTGGTGCAGTATACTTTAAATTCGGTATTCCAACAAGAAAAGTTGTATACAGTCTATCTATCTAGGCCTAAAGGAGTATACAGGTAAAATTTTGTAAAAATTACACTTACCATTTCAATTCTGTGGGTGTTCCATGAGGTGAAGCATGGAAATGAGTAGAAGCTTATGTATAGTAATGAAAAAACACTGTATAATAGCTGTATATATGGTTTTCTGCATATACACAACTTTCTTGAATATATATGGATAAATGAGATAAATATATGTATATACACAAATCCTATATACAAAAATATTTACAAATTTTTTTATTTCATAGCTTCGCGAAGTTTTCAAAGCATGTCACATCTTTTTGATAGAAGCACAAACCAACTTCGTAGGTTTGAACACAAAACTTGTTTTGTGCGACTTCTGTTCCTTGCAACGATATGTTTAAAATTCCAAGTAAAAACTTTAGGCTGTGTAGAGGGGCTTGAGTGAGATGGATTGTCAACCTTCTCATCAAATAAATGAGTTTCATCTGACATATCATCATTGGATTACACAAGTGGTTCAGAAAAGTATATCTCAGTATCGCTGCTATGTTCATGCTCTGTTTCAAAATCAGAGGGTAATTCACTTTCCGAAGCACTTTTAGCGCTTCGGAAAGAGTTAGACCTCTCCGTCCCATTTATGGAAAATTAAAAATAAAAAATTTACTGCAATTAATATTAACAATAAAGAAAAATAAGCTATAAGATATATATACACCAAAAATATCTACACATTTATTGTTAATAAACGGGAATGAGACTAAAAAGTGACAGCAAAAAAATTTGCGCAGCTCCGCTAAATAAAGATGACTCAAACTACTGGTAAAATTTCCACCTGAAAACTACTCACAAAAATTTCAAGATACCCATATTAGGGCTTTAATAGCACAAACCACACCTCACCCCTCAAGACTGCTTTGTTTGAATTCATTCCCCTCCAAAACAACAGAAATAGAAAACATATACAACAGATTAAAACACAATAACACACCGAATAAATACTAATTCAGAAGTCAAACAACAAAAATCAGCGTTATATTTTCAAAATTTTCACAGGACTAGTTTCAATGGTTTTACCGAACCACCATCCTCAGCTGCAAAACCGCAAATTATCATTGTTCATTTGCGGTTTTTCAGCTGAGAACGGTGGTTCAGTAAAACCATCAAAACTAGTCCTGTGAAAATTTTGAAAATATAACGCTGATTTTTGTTGTTTGACTTCTGAATTAATATACAACAGATGTTTTTCCTCTAAGACAGATGTTCTGATGCGTAACAGCATGAGATTGCTAAAGGTGCAGTGTTCCCGCTAATGGAACACCCCGTTTTATTCAATGATTCTGCGCATGCTTTTTGTATGAAAAATGTAAAAAATATATAACAAATAATATGGAGTACAGCCATCAAAATTATACGGAAATTTTTTTTCAAACAAATCTTTTTGTACCACAAAAAAAATATAGAAATTTACTAGAAAAAAAGTGGGTTTTAATAACACATCATAAATGAAAATTCTGGGTCTTCTTGTGATATGCTGCCATCTACTATTTAAAAAGAGAAGTTTAAAGTATATTATAAAGGTATTTTTATCCTTTTATGGTTGAATTTAATGGTTTCAGAAACGATTCAAGTTGGGTGTTCCATGTAGTGGAACACTGAGCTACAAAAGGTTAATCTCTTGCCCAAAGTAATTTGTAAATTAAAACCTTTTTTGACCGCTTCCTTCTTCCGCTGATGTACTGTAACATTCTCTCTTTTTTTTTGCTTAAGCTTTCATCCTGTTAAGACGCTGCTGCAATCGTCTGTATTTGCTTCTGTCGCTATAATATCAAAATTGTTGTGGAAATAGGCACGATTGGAGTGCCAAGTGAATTGTGGCCACCAATGAGAATTTAAATAAATATGGAATTTTATCCAGCTAGGCTGCTTCTTCTTCAAAATGGATGGACGCTCTAAGCATCAAGTATCTATGCCATCAGTATTTTTACGCGTTTGCATCTCAGTGTTCCTGCATCAGTGCTTCAAGATTTGTGTTAATATTACCTATATATATGTAGAGCGAGAGAGGGGTGTACAGTAATACAAACACCTGTAAAAAAAATTTGCTAATATAATTGGTTATAGAAATTGCAAAATATTTTGTGTGCACAAGGAGCATATTATTGGCTCTTATTATAAGAATATACTCAAAAGACTGTAATTTTCAAAGTATGACAGTGGCGAAAACAAAGCTAACTGTCAATCATAGACAGCTGTTGAAACATATAGTGCTTTAAAGCACAAACTAAAAGTAAGATTTGAAGTAAACACTCAACTAGTTATTTACCACTAACCAATTGATTTATGCCTGTATGTCTTGCTGACTCTAAATGCTTTCAAGCCTCATGATGAATGCAGAATACTACAGAACTTGGTCCTGTAAGCAGTGGCAACAAGAATCTGCATTAATGATTTCAGATTATGGTTGCGATTATGTTTTGAGAATGCCCAGACAATTATATATGCCTGTATGTCTTGCTGACTATGAAGTGTGAAAGCGATGCCCTTTATATATGTGCAGTATCTTCACTGCAGTTTGGGCCACCTATTTTTCATTGGAAATTCAAAATATCCTGATCCATTATGCTCATGCTTTCCTCTATACTCATTCCACGGAGAACGAATGTCTTTCGCAATGGTAACACTGCTATCTCCACTTTTAGGTTTGTTTTGTTCAAGCAGGGTTTGAAGGGCATGATTATGAAATAGGATATTGTATACAGCCTCTTTCATCCTCTGGCATGAACATTAAATATTTGTGAGGATATTTCATGCTCAAATTTTGTGCTGAAAACTGGCCTCCAGTTATGCTTTCAAAATTAGATACTGCTTTAGAGGAGAAATGGCTTGATATTCCCTCAAATTATGTGCAAGCATATAGTGTCTCTACTTTGTATTGTATATAATGTCTCAAAGAGTGATACAACCCCTATTTATCAAGATTTTCTTATATTTCAGAGGTGTTTTTATTATTTTGCACCTGATCTGATTTTACACTCCAT